ATCCATCCATCCATCCATCCATCCATCCATCCATCCATCCATCCATCCATCCATCCATCCATCCATGTGTCATGAGGTAATGCAATATGGGAAATATTTTGTTATCAGTCACTACACTGCACTTAATGTTAAATGGTTTCAACTGAATTGGACAAACTCAGCCTTAAGTACCGTAAGATGATTTCTACAGTTAAGTAGAAAAAAAAAAAACAATGATCAACATTGTAATACATTTTTCTGTCTATGAAACTATGACTCTAAAAAAATTACACATATTGTCATATTTGCCTATAAAGGGAGAACAGTACAAACGTGCTTTTTCCTAAAATTGTTAGACTTCAACAGATATAAACGCAGACAGTATAAAGGATATAGCTCTTTAAACATATCAAATAATCAAATTTCTTGATTTTGTCTGACCCCACCCCCCATAAACAACACCACTCTCATTTGTATTTACCAACATTACAAAAAAAGTCTTAAAACTGCTTAAAATACACACAAAAAATGAAAGAACTCCAAGCTATATGGACTTTTATATACACTGCCTGGCCAAAAACAGTCACTCTAATATTTCATTGGACCACCTTTAGCCTTGATTAAGGCATGCATTCGCTGTAGCATAGTTTCAATAAGCTTCTGCAATGTCACAATCCAGTGTTGCATTAATTTTTCACCAAGATCTTGCAGTGATGATGGTAGAGTCTGACCGCTGCACAAAGCMTTCTCCATCACATCCTAAAGATTCTCATTGGWCTCTGTGGAGCCAATCCGTGTGTGAAAATGATGTCTCATGCTCCCTGAACCATGCTTTTTACAATTCGAGGCCGATGAATCCATTGTCATCTTGGAATATGCCCTTATCTTCAGGGAAGAAAAAATTCATTTATGAAATAACCTGATCATTCAGTATATTCAGGTAGTCCGATGACCTCATTAATTGAGCACATGCTGCTGAACCTTGACCTGACCAACTCAGCGAACCCAGATCATAGACCTTAGTTAAAGTCACAGTGTGTAGGATTTTGGCAATTCTTTTAGCCGAAATTGAGATATCACTAATGACAATAATAAAAAACATGTCTAATAATTGCAGACAAAGACCTTGTTTTAATATTTTTACCTTATAAAAAGCTGTTTATATCTCCATGGTCGCGGGTCGCCACACAGGCAGCCGCCATCTTGCACCGCCATCTTGTCTACGAGGGCTCATGAAGGACAAACTGCGGTGGCGGTGTCAAAAACGGTTTTAGTTGTAATACTATAAATGCAATATTTGTTGTCTGTCAAATTAGCTACATTTACATGAACAAAAGTAATCGGATTAAACGGCCGTTCAGAATAAAAATGCGTCATGTAAAACAGCCCGTTCCGATGATTCTGATCCGATTGAGCTCGATCCGAATGAATTTTTAATCCGAATGAAAAGGGTGGGTTATGCCGATTGATAATCGGAATGAGGTTCATGTAAACACTTAATCDGATCATCTTATTCTGATTGTAGAAAACTGACCTGTGTGCATGTCTGCTGACTTTCATTCACCCTGTTAGAGGAGGTGGGACAGCAGCGCTGCAGCTGCGCTGCACCGTGCACAACTTTTCCTCCACGCTGTCTTAACAGATAAAAAAGGAGGCAAACAACAGACGTTGCTTCGCAAAAAAATAAAAACAAAAAGCACGTATTGCTTCATCTGCAGGCTGCAGCTCAACCGAGGAGTAACGGCCTCTCTACAGTTCTTAAAAGCTGACACAGGTCCGTCCTGAGCACACAGAGGAGCTTTGATTACGTTTGTAACACAGAAGTAAAGCTGAAAGTTTACAACACTGCGCATGTCCGACTTTTATTCTGAATAAAACTCCGGTGCATGTAAACACTTTTCATGATCGGACTGTGTCCATGTAAACAGTACATTCGGATTATTTAATCTGAATACATTTCAATCCGATTCAAAAAAATTTGTGCATGTAAACATAGCTGGTATAATTTTACTTATTAAAGCTTATAACCTTACGCTGCTGGTAGACATCGCGGTTGGAATTATTAAAGGTTTTTGACACCTGAGCGACACCGTAGCAACTCCTTTGTTTGGAAGCAGGGGGTGGGGGTGGGGGGAGGACCAGAGAGGATGATTCAACCACTCAACCACTAGATGTCACTGAAAACAACAAATCCTACACACTGTGCCTTTAAATCCAGGTGGTGACTTTTTTTGGCTGGGCAGTGTATACTATTATCTTCACACAGATTCAAGCAGGCTGTTTCTCTCTGCTTTCAAAATGTATGAGCTCATATTAAAAAAATTAAAGTTTTTATTTATCAAATTGAATATGAATTTATAAACACCTTGGTGCAAGAATTAAAGAATCTCAAAATGCTTCTAAAGCCTGTTTTTTATTTAACACAGACTAATAAAACTTATTTACCACATTTTCACAAACTGTAACAGCTCCTCATCACTGATGAGTAAAAAGGTGACCTCACTRCTGTGCAGAATCATCTGTCACAAAGAAGGCAATTTTAAGTAAAATCAATTGCTGATTCTTTATCYGTCCTTCAGCAATCGTGTCAATATCTCTGGATGTGCGTTTCGTTTCAAGACTCCGATGTTCCCAGTTTAATTAGCATCATAAGGCCTCTTTGCCAGCTCTTAAAACAGCATCTCACACGGACGACAAAACAGCCTCCTCTCCTAAAACTAATGCAAGCTACACATATTATATTTTTTTTTGGGGGGGGGGGATGCCATATGAGTGTATTTTTGTGTAAAAAAAGGCATCAGAGAGCACCAGGGGTTAACAAACCAACAACTCCTGGACATATAAGACCGAGACAGAGGAGGAAACACATCTGGACAGGATTAGGACAGCTAAGGAGGCCACAAAAAGGAGGAGGAGGCAGAAGGAGGAGTTTAGGCTAAGTGAGGGGAGGAGGAGTGGGGGGTCAGGAGGCAACAGTAAAGATGATGCAAACAAGGGTCTTACTTGAAAAAAGCCGGGGGGCATGGGTCCTGCTGGCAAGCCATCGTTGGGCGGCATGTTGCCCATCACTGGGCTGGGAGCGGCGGCTGCACTCTGAAAACAGAAAGCACAGATTTTTCTCAGCATTCAGAAGCTCCAAAAAGTTACCAGACAAAGGTGCTAAATTTTTTCTCTGTGTTTGCCAAAATTATTAGAAAGTGTGGCATTGTGTGCTAAAAGGACTTCCAACTGTGATTCTGAAAGAAACAGAGCTTTAAAGGATATCTGTTGAGTGATGGGCACAGTCACTCAACAGATAAACCATAGAACCAGGAACACAAAAGAATATTAAGTCTGTTCGGTGATTTTACTTAACTTGTGCTGCATTAATCAGATAAAAAAAGCTAAATTATTAGAATCAGCTGAGCTTCAAAATGTGACACGAACCTGTCAGCTACAGTTGATCACACACGTCACTGAAATAATACACTGAGGCTCTTCGTTCAGCTCTTTTCAGGATAAAGTTCAACCCCGAGCGCTGCTTTTGGTTGAATAATTTATACAGCAAAAATGTAAATCAGTAWTAAATTGTTTGACAAATACAACATTCTCCTAAATGTGCATTCGATCCCTTCTTGAATGGGACCTCTAAATACATCTCTGACAATAATTTCCTTCAACCATCCTCACAAATAAAATGATTTTTTTTAAATAATGAGGAGGAGGTTGTCAGTTTTTCCTCAGGATTAACACAGAAAACGATGCAAAGAAATCCAAACATTTTTCGTTGAGAGACAGTTTGGGAAGGATGTTCCAAATGCTCACAAAGAAACCCCTGTAAAGTGACCTGGTTTTATCTTTTCCTGACAACAGATGTCATTTTTAAAATRCTGCAGAAGACAGATGGGAGTAAAAGAGTCAGACTTTGTTCCACTTAACTGTGACCACAGGCAGACCTCTCTAATCTTCACCACGAAGGTTTTAGCTGCCCAACTATGACCTTTAACATGGAGGTGGCAAGAGCAGAAAATTCCCACATGGATCATTTTGACAGTGGTGTCAATATTCCCATTTCATCAATCATAACCTCATTTCTACTGAAAGTAAAGACAAAGACCACCCCCCACGCAACGGGATTTTCACTGCAAATAATCTCACCTATCCTCGGCTGACCTGCACAGAACAGGCACTGACTAACAGGCCCCGGGGCCGTGAAGGTTGTACACATACATATTGATTTTGGTTGATACAGATTTTTTTTTTCAAATAGCTGACACTGTCTGGTGTTACAAGGTCATCATACACCTTTAATTTTCCAATCTTCTTTTATTGAAAAACATTGAACAATACAACAACAATACAAACTTGTTTTGACTGGACCTTAGCTAGAGCTCRCAGCAGAGCAAAAGGAGACCGTGGCTGATTTTCAGACCTTTGTGGAGGTAGATGAGAAGCCAATCTTTTCCACCGATCTTATCTAAGTATCATCTGATCTCCAACCTCCCAATRTTAAGGAAATCTATGCTGATAAATCGTCAGCCTGCCTGTCACGGTCTGGTGGATGGAACCCAGAATGCAAGCTGGACACCAGGAGCTCAGAAACAAACTCAGGGAACATGTGCACAAAGTGAGGACCAGGACWGGATGCTTGACTGAGGGGCAAACAGAAAGACATGAAATACAGACAGCAGAACTCATCAACACCTGGTGGGGAAACAACTGGGAACAAGTGTGAGTGGGYGGGGTCAGGAATGACACAGAAGAGGTTAACACTGGGAGCACAGGTAAGGAAATTACCACCTGTAGGAATCACAAAAACCTAAATCACCTGAAAGACAGCAAAAACCCTGATCCTGTTGTTGTAAAGAGCTTTGCAGAACTTGAGGTCAAAAAAGCATTAAGTGAGGACCATTTAATTTAAATGGTGTGATCTGTATACATAATTTAATTTGATAAAAAAACTAGTTTTAGGCTCTGTGAGAATTTAAAAAAGGATAAGTCCTTTTTAATTTTCACAGAGCCTAAAACTAGTGCAGTCCCAATAAAATYCTTCACAAAAGATACATAAACGAATAAAGCAGAAATGATCAATGTTTGCACTGTTTAGACCCAAGACCTTTTAATTAACTTTAATTAACTTTAAAAACACTTTCTTTCAGCTTGATAACTAGGAAATGATTGAACTCTGATTTCCCATAATTAAGACTTCCAAAAACCCCAAACTAAGCCAAAAATAAATAAATAAATAAATAAATAAATAAATAAATTGGGCTGTTTGGCTGCAGATCCTGGGTTTGCGTGCATTTTAGTGTGCTACCT